TAGGGATACGAAGCGGGAATCAAATTTTTGGTGAAGTAATTCTGAGTAAGTAGTACCACCAACCTATTGACTTTTTTGTCTTACGCTCTTAAAACCTTTTCATATTCATTCCTACGTACGTACGTAAATATGGCTTTTGGAACCATCAACTCTTCACCTGAAACGTTAGACTTGGAATTTTAAAAAGATCACAAATTTTTTGATAAACTTTTCCCCACATTCCTCCCCAGCCTTATTTTAGTGACTCTGTTCTGTACCCATGTCTGGTTCGAGTTTACCTACTTGACAAAAATGGTAGAAATGTTTGTTACATAAAAATGCCTGTCATATTACAGACCACTACGCACAATCGAGTTGTAGAATTCCAAGTCAAACATTTCTTTGTTGTGGCAATCATCCTCTCAAATAGACTCGATCTTCTCATGGGGACGCATTAATTACTTGGAATTTGCACACCTCACACCAGCCACCAAGGAGGAAGGAGAGGTGGGGTGGGATTCGTGTCTCGGCATAATTGCCACAATTCTCAGAATATTTGCACCTCTGGAATCAGTGTGGCAACTCCGTCGCACGTATCACACAATCGGACACAAAGTCGCAATGTTACATTTCATGTCATTTAAATTTTTAGCCAGCCCTGAGCACAACAGTTTGTATCATCTTTCATTCTCGTGAAGCTGTGGGTTTCATGCACCTCAAGAAAAACAAAGGGTGGATTCATTTTCAAAATAAAGTATCAATTTCTCAATAATAATGAGAAGAAACCAGACCTACATAAACTGGTCACGAGTTGCGTTGTGAAGGAAGAACAAGTCCCAAGGGAGGAATTTTTAAATTGGATCAATAATTCATTATAAAGAACGAAATCATTCCGCAGTCATGACCACTAATAAAAGTACACGACGAGATGAAAAGAAGAACAACTGTTGTTCCCCACACTCTCGCGAGTGCATGCAACAATACAATCTTCAAAATTCTGTGTCTCTATTTATACAAGTTTTATAATTTGACTCGTCAAGAATTTGCCACATGGGACTTGTTCAACCATTAAATTTAGTTCGCAAAACAATTAAGTGTTTGAAAAGTTAAACGTAACTCAAATACCAGAGCTATTTATTAATTGCTCCATTTTAGAGCTTGCTGCTGCCAGAGATTGTTGTGGTATGTGTAACAGAAGAAGGATTAACTGTACCACAACAGTCAGTTGGTTGATAACATGTTGCAGAGAGAGAACAATGGAGCTGGTTAATAATGAATAAGTCAAAGTCAGTCAGGTCTTTGTTTCTATTTTAAAATAATAATTTGCCAACGGATTTCTAGGGCAGCGAGAAAAAGAGGGATGCTCAATTGCAGGGTAAAAACCGTAACAAGTTTATTTTCGATTGTTGTAATACTATGTTTATTAGTTTTAATTAATTCCAACAAGGAATATTTCGAGAATGAGGAGGAGATGCGATCCGATTTATGTATGTGCCTAAAAGACTTTGCGGTCTTTGCTATCACTATAAATTTACATCCCCCCAAAAAAATTCTGACGTGGCGAGTGCGTGACTTGAAGATTTTTAAGAAACGTGGTGGGTGGGTTAAGACCACTAATTATGGCACAATGAGAAGTTTTGGGTGGAAATAGAAATTCCTTTTACTCACCGACGCATCGTACTTGTGGGACCAGTTTTGTTATGATGTGTACCTTTTAATAAGGCATTATTCTCCCTAATAACTCCAACTCAGACGGCTTTTTATAGGTTTCTCTGCCACTCTTTCGAATGAATATGGTTTGCTGGTGGTGGTGGTGTGATGATGTAGATAAATGTCCAAAAGCTGCAATAAATCTTGTAAAGCAAAACACAACACATTAATGTATTAGCACACATCACATCTTTTTCGTCGTCTTTAGCAAGATCCGTCAGTCAGTCAGTCAGTCAGTCAGTGGTGCATGTTATGTAATACTCGCCAAGCAGAGGCACAATATGCAGTTAAACCCTAAAATCAAATAAAGCTGAAAAACAGAGGCATCATAAAATTCAGGTCTGCCGTACGACTGCATACTAACAATAGTGAGGCGCGTTAGATCTCGCAAAATTTAATTTGGTACAAGGTTAGTTTAGCAAAAAGTTTTTTTCCTCGCTCTCTCTGGTTGCAATCAGGTTGACGTTCAACACATGGAATGACACATGCAATTGCAATTCTGAAAAAAGTACATGAATTAACAAAGATCATTTCAGTGATTGTGTTCCCCTTTGAATATTACTGACTATTCCGCACAGTGCTATTTACTCGATCCTGCTACAACACACCCACCGCCGACAAGAGGTCCTCAACTTTTAAGTGAACTCTGCTCGCTCATTCATAAAATTTTGGTGAACTTCAAGGTGGAATTTGTCACCTTGTTTATTTATTTCCTTTCAATCATTCTTATGAAAAGACGAAGGGACGGGCATTGAAAAGCACCAAAACGTCTATGGACTCAGGTTCGTGCATGTCTTTTTGAAGGGTCATTGTCTCCGTTGGACTGGCTTAAATAAGTCAGCATTAAGTGACATGCTAAGGAACAAGAATACGTGTATGCATTTTAGAGGAGAACGTTTTAAAAACCGGGTGAAATCATGAATCCTCAAAAATAACCTTGTATATCCACTTACTTAATAAGCCATCAATTCAAATTTGTTCGAAATTTATTGAGAACACGGACGGACAAGGGATTTCCATAAAAAGGTTTCATCCTTTAATGAACGGTTTGAAAATCTTAACTTTATCCATTTATTACTTTTCCTCTCCACAAAACCCTTATTCTTCCCTTCATAATTCTATCCCAAGAAAAAAACTTTGCCTAGAATGTAAAATAGATTTTAGTTGTGAAGGGCCTTAAAGCTATTTTAGAACCCTATGTCACTACTATTTACTGCATACGTATCTCTTATATTACCAGCGTTCACTCTCCTTGGTGCAAAACAACAGTTACACCAAAGTCCTAAAAAATGCCAGCGAGTCAATTAAAGACAAGTCTGGCCCGTGCGATAAAAAATTCTATCCAAGCCTTCTGACATAGTGGATATTTCTGTACGTCCGTCCATATTCAAATCGGGCATGCATGCGTAAGCCGTAAAAATTCATTCCGGACTAATTTGTTGCAAGCCTTTCTTTAAAAATTAATCAAAATGACTTGGACCCATGGTTGCAGCAGCAGCAGCAGGAGCGTTGTAAAATAGTCAACTCTTATTGTGAGGAGAATAACATTAGTAAAGCATCGTCTCATGTCAGTAATATTTATTTAGAGGCCGTCCGTAAAGCATGGGGTCGATTTTCGGAGAATGTTGACCCCTGCCCCCCGTGTGACTCCTATGCCCCATGTGGTAACTAACACGGAAGGTAGGAGGGTGCCTTGACCCATACCCCTCCTCAAATCGATGGCATGCTTGTTGCACAGCCCCAGGGTTGGGATAGGGAATGTAAATGTGTGTCTTGTGCAGGCAGGTGATGCAATGCACTCTTGGTAATAATAATGAGATGAGATGCAAAGGCTACTGATATCTGGTCGTAGTATCCCGATAAATAAAATAGCGAATGGAATCAAATTATAGATATACAAGAAGAACACAATGGGCCAAGAAGAGGATGACTAAGCGAAGGCAGATGCATCTGCATGGCCTCTCAAACCACATCTCACTTCTTCTCCTGGCCACTGTAAAAACGATTCTTATTCCCATTGTTCAACTCCATCTCTTCATAACCAAAGCCGGCCTCTCCTGCTCCTCAGATAGGCTGCCCAGGTATTATCATCATCAGCCTTATTACGTGACTCTGAACCTGGTCGAGCGAGAGGAGCGTACAGTGGGCTTTAAAGTGATTAACCCAACCTGTGTTAAATTAATGTTTGGATTTTTATGAAAATCCGTACTAATTTTTTTCTCCTGGAGGAGAGAGATAAAAAAAGTCCATAGAAGTTTGTAATTGTGAGGACAAGATAAGCTGAAAATGATAAGATACATGGGAGCAGTAGTAGTAGTAGAATTATGCCCAACTTTGACTCTGCCTGACCGAGGTTGGTGTAATTTAGTCAAGAGGATGCAGATGCAGTTGGGCCACGGAGAGGAATAGTTTTAAAAGCTTACCTTGCCTCGAGCTCTTGAAAATAAAGAATCCACCGAACCGTCGTCGTCGTCGTTGAAAAGAAGGTAACATTGCCCTTGGTTGGATTTAGTGGAGTACCTTCGCTACGTACGTACGTACCACTTGTGTTATTATTGCCCTTACCCACCAACGATCCATGCACCCAGTTCGTATTAATCGTGGGTACGCAAGTTTTAAGCATATACGACGACTACCCAACACTTACCGTCGACGTTTAGATTCATGGATGGGATCTTTTCCTTTACAACTTTGACAGTCAGTTGCATAGCGTTTTTCACTCCAAGTGAACACGAGTTGAGTTTTCTGGTCAAATAAGTAAAGACAAAAATGTGTGTGCTTTCTTCTCCGACTCGCATTTTTGAGGCATTATCACACCAAAATCATCCCACTTTGTGTTTCACTGGTGCGTGGGGAAAGCAATATTAATTTTGTGCCATAGTTGTAAAAATGGTGTGATTGTTGTAAGAATTCGTGTTCATGGAGAGTGGTTGGTTTTTGGTGTTATTTGATTAACGGAAAACACATTTCACGGAAATGGATCCATTTTTTATGGTGAAAGAATTTTGGGTTGTGAACCGGAATCTGTGATCGGATCGGATAGTGAGTTGTGAAAATGGGAAGAGTGAGTGGACGGAAGTGTGTATTTGCAAGTCTGACAATGAGATGAGTTTTGTCTGCCGTGGTTTTCATCAGGAAAACTTTGCGACACGAGTGAATGAACACAACGGTATGCGAATTATTGAAAAATGTAAAACCAAAGGTTAACAAGCTAAAAATGGGTTTAAGAATATTTTGCGTACTCAGGAAGTGGAACCAATGACTTCTCAATACCGCTTCCATAAACTAACTTGGCTTTATTTTTATTGCAGGTTATCAATCTGGAAGTTGGATAAGCCTCACCACAACCACCCACCCCCTTGCAACAGCAGTAACATTAACAATTCTCCGCTGAAGGGGAAGTGTGGGTCGACACAGGCCTTGTACTCAACCCCACATCGGCCCCTCCAGTACCCCGTGTACTCCACGCTTCCGAGAAACCACTCTCAACAAGGAACAGTCTGCTCGTCCCCCAAACCACCCACGAACGTCCCACCGCTCAGCGTCCATCAACGGTATCATTCTTCCTCGTCGTCGTCGTCCGGAAATGGACTGCCACCCATCCCAACAAGTACCAACAGCACTACCAGCAACACATCAGTTCTACTCTCGCCTGCACGCTCAACGCCGAATTTGGGTAGCTCTGCCAAACTGCAACTCACACCACAAGTCCAGACACCACCGAGTCACCCAATTTACCGGGAACCCCCAACCTACACTCCAGGCCCAGTAGTGAACTCGTACTCCCTGGGACGAAGTAAGCGACAGTTCCCCATCGGGCTGAGATCATCGCGATCCTCAGAAAATGTAAAATTGCTCCAAGACTACTCCATCACGACGACGGAACCAATCCCCACGAGTACGACTGCTACTAGCAAAAGTAGTGGTGCCAGTGACCACTCTCCCCCCCTCGCAATGTCCTCGACGTTAAGTGGAAATTCTCCATCTTGGCTCAAGGACAAATCCTCCGCAAACTGCACTCCCGTCCGAGACTCTTCCTCTCTCAAGGGCATCCGGTACGGGCCAGGTCATGAAAAATACCCCAGTTGGCCTATACCTGCCTCCTCAGTGGCAGAAGTCGACCCCGCCGGATCGGCCAGTCCCTCCTCCTCTGCTAAAATCGACCTAGCCCATGGTGGCTCCGTCCGCTCGAAAAGCTGGACCGAGAGCACGGACTATCCCAAAGAAAAAGTGCCATCCTATGCACGGCCCTACATGAAGAAAATGATGATGGCTGCAGCAAACAGCAATTCTTCCAACGCAAATTCAAGCTCTGGTTATAGCCACCAGTTGAAAACGGTGTTGGAAAAGTGTGAGAAAGCGAAGCAGCAGGAACGAGTAGGAGGTGGCCGAGGTTATCATGTCCTCCAACCACCCCAAGGTTATCGAGACCACCAACACCAGAATAATAGTCAGCAACAGCAGCAACATCCCCCAGCAGAGAAAGAGTACAACATCCCTTCGCCCCCCGAGCGAGACTCTGGTGCTGTCAAACCCCTCACACAAGAGGACGTTGAAAACTACTCGAAAAAGTACGAAGAGCTGCTCTCCCAATACGCCGGCTCTGAAGGGTACCACTCCTACATCAGTTCCGAGTGTTCGTCCTCCTCGTATGTGTCCTCCTCCTCCACGACACCCTTCCTCGACCTCCTCCGCCGAGAGAGCGGTGACCTTTTAAACCATCAGCATCACTACCAACCCTTCTACGATCATCTCGACCCCTCCGACCCGCTCTTTGCGCTCGCACACCTCGCCGCAAATCGATCCGGACGAGAGTCTGTGACCACGGTTGTGACGAATTCGTCGGGGTCCTCGTCCGGGACGGAAACGCTGAAATGCTTCGGATCTGCGAGCGATGTGAGTATAGCTTCATCCTCCAACAACAGGTGGGACTCCCACAAACATCCGGGCAAACATTCCCCTTCAAACAAGTCTCCCCACTCACCCACAAAATCGTGGTCCCCACCTACGAGTGATTTATCGTCGAGGGAGATTAACCTGAAAAAGTTTCCCCTGTCGACATACACACGTCCCTCCACTCTCTCCCTAGAGAAGCAGCAACAACAGCAGCAACAAATCCAGCCGGAGAAGGACACCCCTTCTCCAACATCAGCAACCACTCCTCCAGCCCCCTCCAAATGTCAAGAGCCACAAAACCAACCCTCGTCCAACTCTCCCATCATCGACACCAGCAAACCACCTTCGGTCGCGGAACGAATTTGGGAACTGGAGCAGAAACAGTCACGGGAGAAGATCGCCTCCTCCCTTCCTCCGCAACCACCTCCGCCAATAATCTCAATGTCGTCCTCCTCATCTCTCAACAGCAGTTCAAATTCCAACAGTTTGTCATTTAAACGTGTCACCCAACTCGGACCGGGTGGACTCAGTCATTCCAGTGAAACGCTTCCCCTCACATCTTCCCTTATCCAGAGCATCAAGGAAGAAGCTGCTGCCAAGGCTGCCGCTGCCGCAGCCCAACAACAACAACAGTCCTTGCCCCCAATTTCTACAACTGCCACGACTACTAATGTGTCATCATCATCAGCGTACAAAAATTTGTGGAACGGGGGAGAAAAGGAGACCCCAACTACTCCACCCACTGAGAATGCAACCTCAACTGCCACCAGCTCACCCACCACGGAGATTAAAAATAGCAGTGCTGGCGGCGTCCCTAGTGTTCAAGGGACAAGTTCTTCGTCATCAATTTGTGGGGAGGGTGAGAACATTTCGTACTCTTATCTCGATCCCGAGAAGAAGCACAAGGTCGCGGACATGACGTTGAAGGCCATCCAGAAGAAAGCCCTCTTATCTTACTACGAACGCCATGCGGGGAAAGGGGAGGGAGCACCTGCTTCTGCTGCTGCTTCTACTAGTCACAACAAGGGTGCGGTCGATGCTAATCAGGTAACATTTACATACGGCTTTTTGATGTGCACAAGACAGCGAAAATGCCATTTTTTCCTTTGCTAACCATGATTGGTGAATTTTTCAGGGGGATAACAAGTCCGAACATGGCAAAGACGATGGTACTGGCGCGAATGAAAGGTGAGCATTGTCCTTGCAGTTTTAGTCGTCGTCCAGATGTCATAATGTCATAACAGTTGCATCATGAAGTGTCACTCACTTTTTGCCACGTTGTTTAGTCAGAAACGTTTTAATTGTTTTTGTCTCTCCGTTGCACAAAGTGTACGACGTGCACAAATGAATATTTAGCAGGTTTAAGTGATGGGCTGTTAGCACCGTGCACATTACGTTCTGTTGTGTGCACATACGAATATATAGAAGGGGTGAAGTTACCTTACATGCAGCCAGAGTCGTGGTAATGGCTTCATGTTGTCTTAGAAGAGGGCGAGGCTGCTAACGTTGGAAGGTCACCGTCACCGACCCACCACGATTCGCTCAGTGTCGTCGGTTTAGCAAACTTTGGTTATTATGTGCGAATTCTTAATGACTTGGCGACTTGCAAAATTGTTTGCATCTGGACAGGATTTTACCCAAGTTAATTATTTACTTTGCGTAAAATCTTGTCCAGGATTCAAAGTCCAAAAATGGAAATTTCCAATTTTTTAGACCATTATCATCGGTTTGATTTTTTTACTCAAATTTTTTAATGCCCAGAGTAACAGAGAAATATTGAAAAAATCTTGATAAATTACACCCGGAAATAGCGTCGGGCTTTGTTTTTCATGTCGTCCTCCTCCTGCTCCTCCTCCTCCCCGTTACATTATTGTTCCTACACGGTGTCGTCGCGTGGCATGTTCTTCTTCCTTCTTCACGACTTTGCAGCCATCCATATTTCGTATGCATGGATGTAACCCTAAAATTTCGCACATTGTCACAGGTAGTAAAATATCGTACGAATCCTTCAACCCTTCGTAATTTTCTCATGTTGGTGTGAAAATGCGTTGTATAAGATTTACAAACACAATAGCCATGCATGGTTCGTTGGTTGGTTGACTCTTCAATCGTATGCACATACGTACAGAGTCCGTGCACTTGACGAAAATTATGCCCATTTTCCTATCAAGTAAATCTTCTCCAAATTCGATAAAATTTGAATATAAGAAAGAAATCAACCCTATGTCGTCCTGAGACCAAAGCCAAGAGGAATTTTGGCTTCTCATACGTGAGAAAGTGAAATTCGACCCTTAAAATTATCTTGGGCTGCCAAATTAACCACTCCTGCGACTCAGAGATCAACAACCAATAAATAAAACCAGATCACTTTTACCCTCTTCATTTCTTAATAACTCAATCCCAACGCACACATCTTTTTTTACACGACGATCAGCTCAAGGAGTGACAACAAGTATGATGCAGAAGTCACGGTGTCAAAAAATACGACGGGATAACATGTTTGCATACTGCAGAAGAAACTTGAACCTTCATTTAATCTGACGTTGGCTCGACTTAACCGAAGGCTTTTCGAGATTTGTACATACGGCGGAGCGACTGTTATTGGCCGTCAATGTTTAATGAAGGTGCTGTTGGACTGATGTAGTCAGTGGATTCGAATTTCTTTAATCTCTCTCCTCGCACTCTCATGTCGCCATCCTTATTGTGCACCTATCTCCGCGTAGATATTGTTTTCCTCGTCGTCAACGTCGTCGTCACCATGGCTCGTCGTCTTTGTTCCACCAAAACTTGACACTGACTCCTGACCCAAGAACTGCGCAACAATGCAATCGCTCCTGCCATCAGATCTGCCCAAGTTTCAATTTGGCATTGGTTGATTTTATGTTGCTAATTTAATTTAATTACTCAAAACTACCACTCGCTGATCAGTACTCGCAATGTCATACGTGTCATACATACGTGGAAGAAATACGACTAAAAACTAGAGTAACTTGGGTAGTCTCAACTTTTAATGGCGACGCAGAAGACGTTAATATGGTGACAAATTACTTAATGGTGTATATCCCACTGCTAATAACCGACACGGCCACTTACTTATCAACCATCCAACCAACCAACAATAGATAAGGAATAATATTTCCATTTTCTTTATCTTGTTGACAACTGGGGCCGTGAAGGAAATCATAATCGTAAAACAAGTTCAGTCTCAGTCTCATTTTCAAAGCGTGAGCACACATAGCGAAAAAGTCACCGAGTTGTGATTTCTTGATCATTTCTTAAAATGGTCTAATCAGTTTTTCTTCAAAATATTATCACAAAAATCATCGTCGCAAAGTCGCTGTTATTATTGCTTCCGCATACTTTTGTTTTAAGAATAACAAGTGAGATGTTTGTGGTTTTAGTAGGTTTCGTCGTCGTGATTGCGATTAAATATTTGGCAGGTCTGATCCGACGCGATGATTATGAAGGATAAACGAATGCGCTCGCAAACCTAAGCAAATCAGATTAAAGACTGCGTGTATTATCATTATTAAAATATTATTATTTTTGCCAAGTTCCGTTACAATAACTTTTCGTGCCGTTTATTTCTTCTCGTTGGATAATCTTGGCAACAAAGTGAATTATTCAATCACATCATCTGGAAGCTCTTAACGTGCTCCTTAGTTTTGTCTGATGACTTGCAAATATCTGGAATTCTTGGGCCGATAAATCTTTTCTCACAGGTAAAAGCAGTGAGCTAGTGAATTTCTGAATGAATAATCCAAACTGAAGTCACGACGTGAAATTGGTTGGTTGGTTAAGTAATAAGAGGAACAATTAGAATTGGAATTAGTCGTCGTCTGAAGAAAGAAAGAAGAGGCCGGCCGGCTCCTTATCAAATCACCGAATAACGGGATGGATTTTGTTTCATTGTCGGCACTTTGTTTTTTGTCTCTCTCTCCCAACTCCTCTGCTGTCAGGGGAGAAGCATTGTTGGAGATTTCGTCCGAGATTTTGACCTCTCAACAAAGTCGTCGTTGTAGCACATAAGATTGGTGCATAGAAATCGTTAATTGTTTCATGCGTGGTAAAAATTCAGCAAGTGTAATTGGACACTTAGGTAACTTAGCAGGAGAGGAATCAATATAAATTCCATTAAAATTGAGAGATTTATGGTAATTAAGGGGAGGTGCATTTCTTTAAGGGACAAAAATTGACAATTTTGGTTCAGAAAAATAGTCGTGATAAATTTCTGAAGTAAAATGTGAGATGATATTGATCGTAAAAAATAGACTAATGTCTAATGTCTGTTAATCTAATGTCTTTGTTGCTTTCATGAATTTGCAGACTTGGCTTCATGACGAAGTACAACAGCGGCCAACTAGCGGGACGCGACGGAGTTGTGAACGGATGGCAGTCGAACGGTGCAAGTCTAGGTGGTGCTCACGTCGTTGGCAATTTCAACAATCCAAAGCTCAACAATGGTGCAACCAACAACAATGCAATAACTTCGTCCTCCTCAGAACCACCACCCCCAGAAAGACCCCCAAAGAAACCACATCTCCGACAGTTTAATCCGCACCAGGTGAGTTCTTCTTCAAGTTTTTTAAATTTTGACTCTTTTTCAGTCTCATTTTCATAGAGAAAATGCTGCTGCTTCTCATATGAATAAGTTTCATGGAATGAAATAGGAATAAGTAACTAGCTCATCCGTGTCATGATTTATTTGTTCGACCAACTCACGACTTTTGCGAAATGCTTGGTTATTACTCTATACGAACGACGACGACTTCTTGACCACCACAAACAAATCTTGATCCAGGGCAGACAAAACAAAAGCATAGATAGAAAGCAAAGCAAAGTCGTGACTGGATGAGAGACCACGACGAATAAAGAAAACTTTGGAGTTTCAGCTCAAAATTAAATGTTTAGGGTTTTAACTGTTTTTCCGTGTCTGACCTGCTCTCAACTTCATTTCTGCCTCAAAAGGAGTTCAGAATTAGGAAATAAATATTTGCTTAAAAGTGAGGAGCGAGCGAGTTATTAGCGAATTTCATCCCATGTTGTTGCTGCCGTTTGTGGGTGGTGGTGTAGAAATAAAGGAAGCATTATTAACGGCAATAGTTTGCCAAGTGGTTGGCTTGGCTGAAACATTTCATCAATTCAACAAACAAACGAAACTTTAATGAACCTTGTGCACCATATTCTCTTACGATACGATTAGACACTGCATGCACTATTATTATTATTCTCTGCTGCTGCTGCTGCTGCTGGGATGGGCAGCATGCATCTCAATCACGAACCTGCTGTAAAACATGCACCAATTTGCTCCAAATTTCGCACAAAATGTGAATTTTATTAAATGCAACGATACATTTGCAGACACAAAGTAAAACAAAAATCATCCATGATTTGTTGAAATTTGCAAGGCTCACAAAATAGTAAATAGTTGAATGCATATTATTCAAGATCTTATATCTCACAAGATAATTGTCGAGTATGACTTGTTACTCTTTATTACTCGATAACTTAGACATTATTTGTTTGCATTATTGCTACAAATACATCACAAGATAACGACCTTCAATAAGCCTTTTATTTTTTTTTGCCGATACACTTTTGTGCCAAAAAGTAGCAAGGAATAATAATCCAATACTATAGAAAGTACATAATATTTGGCAATACTTTTCACAAAACTGGCCGGAAATAAAGACACACTTTTCTGTTCAGTGGATTATTGTGCTGCGAGTCGTGGTCAGCCAGTTAGACATTAAAATCAAAGTTTTTCATTAATTTTTTATTTGATTGGTAATTCGAATAGTTGTTTCGACTTCTGCCAGCGAGTTGTTGTTGCCGTAGCGGAACATTAATGAATCCTTGTTAATTACTTGTTAATGTAATTGCACCATCCAGATACGAAGCAGCCAGCAGATACGAAGGAAGGCAGGCAGGCAGCAGGCTTGCCAATTTAATCCATTCGTGTACGCTCGCTAATAGCCTTTCAACTTTCCTTGATTACTTCATAAAAAATATTGAAATTATATTTTGAAAAATGTTTTGCCACTTGCCAAACGTACTAAAAGTTGTTTTAATGTGTTTTAATTGTCAGACAATTTAAATCAGCCAGGTTGCAATCCCAAGCATGCAGCAGAGTCGTTGCGAAACCATGATGATGCGAGTTTAATTTCATCAACTGCATTCGACATTTGTCATTGCACATCACCCACCAGTACCAGCACCACCACCACCTGTTCTCCTAACAGGCGTGGCCCAAGTCTTCGAAACTAAAGCCCCACTAATGGTGAAATGATGAGTAGTTGATCCGGTGATTGCGTATGCATAAACGCCACTCTTAATTACGAAAAGGGACATTAAAACGACCATAAGCATATCCGGCTTGTTGTCTTTGTCTCGGTTTTTATGCAATATCTCTGCAGCACTTGGTCACTATTGCATGTCGTGGATTGGAGTACGTCTTTGTGTGGGTGGGTGGATCAGCTCGGGTTAAGTGCATCACCACCCAGATATCGAGATATTGCTCAATCAATATTCAAAACGAGTGACGCTGATAAGTTTGAAATAACTGCGACGTAATAGTCAGGATTATCGAAAAAAACAACCCCCGTACAAAACTATTTCTCGAGATAGATAAATATTATTGACTTTGATTTTGCGACAGATTTATGGTTTTCTAAGCATTTGTATCTACGTATGTTGGGTGCATGGCGTTGGTTGGTTGGTTGATTGGTTACATGTGATCATCCAAATGTAGGAAAAGTATTCCAATTTTTTTCTGCAATTGGCATGAATATTATTGCTTTTGCATATGTTTGTATTTCTTATCTAGCTAAGTATACAACCAGAAATGGCACGGCTGAGCCTATTTACGTCACCATGCACAAGTTCATGTGTGCACTAGGGTTTGAGAAAAAAGTGATAAAACATTGAATTTGATATTATGACAGACAACCTAAAGCTAGAGATTTGCTAAAAATATAAATAGCTTCTAGAGTTACAAGTTCAGCAAACATTTGCTGAAAAGTCAATGTCAAAAGTTTGCGAATTGCATCCGGATCCGGACCAAGAGACAGACATGATTTTTTGACGTACCTAAAAATCTACAACCAAGCCTCCTCGCGCGACTTGTTGTGTGCAAACATATTTGTAGCTTCATTATTGTGTCCTTTCATCATCAATCATTTTATTTTGTGCCAATAATGCTGACGACCACGAGGAGGAGGTGATCGTTTCCTCAAGAGGTTTCCACAATGCTTGTGCATTTTTTGAAGGAAATACAATTAATTGTGTTGGAATGGAGTGGAAAGAAGTTGAGATTTCCACGATAAGATTATCCTCTCTCCTCGCTCATTTTACACCATTTTTCATCATGATGCATTTTTGCATGATGCAAAATAAAGAAAGGAGATCAATCACTCATCCAAACCTTAATGACCCATACACACAGAAACAACATGCAGGTTGACTGGTGCTAAAGGAGCATTGATTTTGCCATGGAAAGGACAAGGTCAACTTTTTTCATCTTCTTTTTATCACGTCAATCACGAGCTAATTAGAAAAATGCTGTCAATCCCACCCAGTGCAATGCTAAATAATACGTTTCTTACTCCTTATGCATTTACGATTAGGGACATGGAAAGATACACAACATGCATGCAGATACTTTGCGGATGCTGATTGATTGATCTCAGGCCAGCCAGCCAGATATGTGTAGTCCCAGCTATAGTCATATGCAGATACAACTATCGCACAGAAATGTGTGTGTGTGCAAAGTTGTCTTCTGTGCAGAAATAAGTTTTTGGCATTGATTTCTCCAATCTGTAGGAACGAATGCTTCCTTGTAATACTGTACAGTGAGTTTAGCATTTTTGCGTTAATTAGACCAAACTCGCAGAGCAGGTGATTGATGGGTTATTGATATTGATATTGACCAAAGGATAAAAGGATTGATGGTGTGAGCGAGTGCATCTTCATACGTGAGCTTCTTGTTGCAAAACTTGATGTACGACTAGAAATCAAGATATGAGTACGTATACGACGACGACAATGTATGCATGATCGATAATCTATCAATCACCCGAGCTAAACTGAACCAGTTATCTCACGATTGATTGATTGATTCCTTGTTAAGAATTAAGCGTGACAGAAACGAGCATGAGGGAGGAGTACAGTTGTTCGCATTCGTTTTACCGTCATGGTATTATGTTACCTCAGAAGAAGATTTATGTAACTTGTTATTGCTGACGATATGAACTTATCTTAACCCATTTTTCCTTCTCTCTTATCTTCTTAAGGTGGATAACAACGACCCCATGAACCACGATTCCAGTCCTCCTCCACCCCTTCCACGCGCTCCAATTCGACCCCCAGCCCCCAACCCGTCATCATCCCCGGTCAAGGCCAACCTCGTGAGCGGAGTGCCACCCGTCCCCTCCAAACCCGTCGTGGGGGTTCCCATCAACGCGGGAATCGTGACGATGGCGCGGTCACCGTCGCCTGACCTTCCTCTGCCCCCACCACCACCCATCGCGGAGGAGGAAGAGGTGGAAGTGGTGGACAACGACGAACCGCTGCCTCCACCCCCAAGTCTCACGGAGGTCTCGAACTGCCTCGGATCGAGGTCACGGTCTGTGTCCGGATTGTAAGTTCATCTTTCTTTCTTTCCCTTGTTGTCGTAATTTTCGCAAAAATTGCATCCCATAAATAATCCTCACCACATCAGCTTGTATCACAATCATTCACCAAGTCAGTGAGTCGAAACGAGGCTAGAACTTGTTTTATCTACTGCAGAATCTCCTAGTTTGGGTCAACCCACTGCTACACGGATCGAATTACGTGTCACATTCCGTTTTCACGTTATTACGGTTGAATCAGAAAACGAGCGAATTTCAGACATGGTGAATTTTGCGGGGGTTTCTACCCCATAAAAGAGTTTGCCTATTAACCTTTCTGACTAAATTATCACGGTAGCCTGTTCTCTGACTCTCTCGCAGCCATCTGCATGCATATTTCACGACGCATCGGTCACTCATTTGTCCCTGGTTTGTCATCGGCCCATTTTATTGGGCTAACTCACAGATGAATGCTCATCAATGAATCAATGCTCACTGGGTTTGATTTCTTATCAGGAAAAGAAAAGAATTACGAACGATCCGGAATGTCGCAACATTCCTGCAAAACATATCTCTTTTTTATATTCTTCTTTCCAACTTATTCTTCAACCAGATGAGAATACTTGAGATTTTGAACTTGAACTCATAAAACGGCATTAGATATGCAACCCCAGCACAATACCACAACCGGTCAACAACAACAATGCCAAATGAGAGATGGATGGGTAGAGAAAAAGGTGTTGGTTAAAATTGGATAGCCTTTTAAAAAAGTAATCTGCATGTGAATTAAATGGTTGGATTTTTTATTGAGGAAACTCTTGCCAATATGGAAGAAATGGAGACGGCGAGAGCTTCACTCATTGGCAGCAGCAGCAGCAGCCAGCACTATTTCATAAAATTTATTCAAAACCGATAAAAATAAAAATCAAACGATGTCAAGAGGCAGGTTCATAAAAATTTTATGGAGGACATTATTGGTCTCCTATGGCATTCCCCTATCTCGCCTCATCGCATCACTGCATTCACCATTTAGCTCATTTAACTCATTCCACTATTTAACCAACATTCTCCCGAGTAAAGTAATTGGATCTTGATCTTCAGCCTGATAACTGAAACTCATCTCTCTCTCGCTCTCTGGTAAGTTGGGTATGTAAATACTGCATGCAGATTCCCTGTAAAAAATCTGTTAATTATTTCAAGACAGTTTATATTTATTTATTTTGTATCACAACATGCACACCAACCACCAGTTTTGGTGGAGTTATCTTGTTCATAATCAGATACACGATGCCAGGCAGGTAGATTGATAACTGATCTTTTTAATTCGGTTGACGGAATGTCAATAATAATATTGGCATATTTAAAAAGTCAAGAGATTCGGCCAAGTCGGGTTCACCTTGTTTATTGCCTTAATAATATTTTTAAGTTGGTCAGGTTTGCATAAACAGTTGAATGATTTACTCTTGGCCGAGATGTGTTAATAATATTTACGTATTGGGAAGAAATAAATGTCACCCACGGGTTCCCAATAATTACATAATTTATTAGTTAATGAGGGTGTCGTAATCTTGGGAAGGATCACGTTGTGACCACCTAATGGCAAAAGTGTCTACCACAAATATATGTACTCTTACGTCGTATTGTGGTTTTGTGTGGTGTCTCCTCATCTGATCTGTCAATCAGTGAACTTGAGCTAGACCAGGATGACGACGACGACGACTCCTCTTCAGCCACATTGTACATGCATCTGCCTTATCTAGATCTCTAAGTCAACTTGTGATCCGTATCAATTTTTTGACGTTCAGATAACCTGCTCAAAGGGGCTCATCCTTTTGTTTGTTTTGTTGACATTGTTCCCAACAACAATAAAATCTCACACATATTCATTATCTTTTTTGTCATCGTCACCACCGTCGTTTAAAATTTGTTTTGATTTTTTTCCCGATTTTTTTCATCTCTCTTCCACTTGACTAACGGGCTGCGTTTAGCTGCTGGCTGAGCATTTACGTGGATTAAGAAGCACATTTCCTGTTTTCAGCCGAAACAAAGACAAAAATCATCGTGGCATATGAATAAACTTGTTAAGGGGTTGGAATGTCAATGGGTTTTGTTTTATGCTAAAAAAAGTTTGAGTATGTAGCAGGACAGAAGGAGACGCAGGCCTTGTTATGCCATTCGTCTCTCTGTTATTATGAAATAAGAAGCTAAACGCTGTTAAAAAACAGGCATTTTTATTGCATATTATTATTATTATTATAGTGTTTGTCATCTCTGTTGTTATTCTGCGTACTTGCTGAAATGTGGAAAATGCCTACCACACTGTCATTAAGCCCTGGCAAATTAGTTATGCAGTAAGACGAGAGACAGACAAACAAGGGATGAAAAGCTATAAAATTTCATTTTATGAATTTACAAGGAGCTGGTAATAAAGGAAAGTTTCAATTTTTGTGCATGATACGCAGCTTTCAATGCATTTTGTTTTGTAATATTGCAGCTTTTTAGTATTCTTACGGCTGCCGAGTAGTCAGACTGATTCAATTTATTTTCTAATTCTATAATTTCGCAACAACTGGAAAAGCTATTTCCGAAACATGGTCATGCACTTTTTTTCAGTGCGTGCATACTCACAACTACATAGATTTCAATAATTTTTGAGAAAATGAATAATTTTAGCAAGGAAAGATATTTTTCAGTTATTTGTCATTATATTACGAGCCATAAAACGTGATGTGAGTTTAAGTCTTATTTTTTATTACTGTTGTCTCAGTTTGATGCTAAAATGTAAACGTGGTCCGGAATTCCTTTGCTATGTCGCACGCATATAAAATTTGTCTCTTCTTCTTCCTCCTCCTCTTCTTCTTGTCAGGCTGAGATGAGTGTCTTCACCCATAATTCTCTACCTTTGTTGTCGTTACCTTATCCGCCGTCGTGCACATCTCGTCGTCGTCGTCGTCGTCCTTTCTTTTAAAAGGCGTTCATCAAACACAAAGAAATCTTGCTAGACAATTTGCAAGTCAAGGTCCGCACCGTATGGGAAACAAGTTTTGCTTTGTTCCTGTGGCTAAAATTTCAAAGTGGTGGCCACCACGATGTGTTTTGTAATTCCTCCGTCCGCGTACATCACATGTTGTCTCTCTCGTGAACAGTTTTTTTTTCCTAAATTTTGCAGAATTGGTGGATTGTTAAAGCCAAATAAATGTGCCACATTCTTGTCTTAATAATATGAAGGGTTCCATCTCTCCGTGCGTACGTATTATGCAACGGGTTCCCCATCTTCTTCCTTCCCTTTGTTCACGTGCAGCAGCATTTGGCAAGTGCACGTTTTTTCAAGATGTGACCTTGTTTTTTGGCGCCCGGCGTATGGGAGCCTTTTTCCGAGTGGTTCTCCCTTCTCGGAAATAGTTAAGACAGAAATCGTGTAACAGGATAAATTCCGACTTTATTTATTTTCAAAGCAATACTCATATCTGTTTCACGCAACAATTTGTTGGAGACAGGAGGCATGCATTACTAGAGACAAAGCATGACATGGGGGGTTTAGCGTTGTTGGTTGGCAGGCATAAGCGGATGTATGTAAATAGTGTGGAAAGGGTTGCAGAAATTTGCGAGTTGGTAAATAGAGCAGACCGATGGGGCTCGTATAATTTGTTCTTGTAGGTAAGCTCTCTTTGTAATTAATAAGTAAGCACGACAACAATGCGAACGAGAGGAAGGGAGCACTTGACTCTGTCCCTAAAATAAAATTATCAAATTATAATTTTCTTCTTTAGAGGAAATGAGTTTGAGCTTCTTATTGTTTGCATTCGTTGAATGTCATGAGTGAGCTTTGCTTGTTCTTTTCCTCTGCCTGCTGCATTTGCACTTTATTCCTTATGATTAAATATTATTACCTACCGCCCTTGATTTAGGCATTTTAACTTGGATGCAAAAGTTAGTTAGTTACCTTGTGAAAAATCGTGGTTAATTTTTACGATGTGGTTTCGTTTCGTCCCAAGCTCACTTACAACAACTTATGTACGAATACATGACTCAAGTGCAATTCAAGGTGGATGAATAATAATAAAATGATGCCTCGTTAAAGTTTAAATGTTAAGAGAACGTGGTCAACTTTAATTTTAATTGTGGACACGATACTTTTTGTTTTATGAAAATGGCTTTGCTTTCATAGTTAATGACTTTTTTTAGAAAATCTTTCAAAATTGCGGCAGCATTTGTTGTCGAAATATTGATGAACCAAGACATGCACGGATTGCACACATCCTTTTTTTGACTCAGTGGTAGGACAAGTTTAGATTTTGTTTGAATTATAAACCGGAAATTGCTACTGCTCATAATCATTGGGATGGATGGGCTCCTGCTACCTGTCTTAGCCTTCCATGAGTTTTGACTATATTTTTATTTGGTGAAATGGTAACTCCATTTCCATCGTCACGACCCAACTAGTAATCCTACGTAGATAAAACCAGCAGGAAGACCAAGAAACTCAGGCAGATGTTCAACTCGTAAAAAAGTAACTGCATAAAATATGAGGAGGGGCGAGTAAAAGCCCGCACCAGTTGTTGTTAGTGAGCATATTTAATAAGGTGAAGCACCCTCATTATAAAAGCAATCCGAATAATAATCACATATCGATGCTGCATATGCAGTCATGAACATAGCTCCAGATGCAGAAAACCATAGCCAACAGTGGTGAAAAAAATACTTGCAATTTGGCTATTTAGTCCATTCTATGAATTTCAGCCAGTTTTGTTGTGCATTGGATTGAATGCATGGCTGTTATTGTCTGCCATTCAATCTGTTGTGGAAATAGCGCAGGTTGTAAATATTATTTATTATTCCGCTCGATTGGGTTTTCCTTGTTGTTAAGTAATGTACAAATTTGTATTATACCCCATTTGCATACATACGCTTTGCACACATCATTCACATCATTCACACACTCCAGCAGGTTAATGCACTTGGGTGAGAAGGCAAATAATAAATGTGTCCCATTTTTCAAATGAGTCCCGTAATCTATTCTTTTTCGAAA